AGCGCTATTTATGCAATAGCGAAAATCAGACCTGAAAAAAATCAGGCCTGTACGGGATTCGAACCACTGACCTCTGCGATACTAGTGCAGCGCTCTATCGAATGCCGTACAGGCCTAATTTTTTAAGGTCTGATTTTCGCTATTGCATAAATAGCGCTATCTACTGCGAGGACCGTGCATCATACCTATCTAATACCGCAGTTCAAAGTATATGAACTTTATGTATTCATTGTAACTACTGAAAATGTAGACTTTACCGCGTTCCAAGGAGGGCATAGCTCGGTTTTATATGTGTTCTTTATGAAGACAGAGGTCAGCGTCTTGTTCAATCGGATGTCTCAGTCATGCTTCTGATTTTTCTAATCTTTATCGACGTGAGCTTTATCATACTCTAGCTAAGGGAGTCTGATTAAGGAGTGGCCTTCGGTCAGACAAAAACGTGTAAGTCCTGCTGTTTTAGGCGGCAGCAAAGTGATTCCTTTGAGAAAGGACTTGGTCATGGACTCAACACTGGTTTTTTAGCATAAGACACTTTTTTCGTGGGGGATAACAAAGAGCTTTGTCTCGAGACGTTTGGCGCTCGTTAAGCCACTTGATGATATTGCGTTTTACAGATTTAGATCTTGAAAGTCAAACGTTAAGCAGTGCTTCCTGTATATGTTCGCAGTAGGGCGTTTGTTCGGTTCTGCTAAAAGTTCGGGGCCTTGCATTGCAAAGTTGAAGAACATGGCAGAGACATCCAAACAGAAATGGTGCAGACCTCTACTGTTTAAGAGCTTACCCATTTTGGCGGACATCAGATGCTCTAAACGTAGTGCGGTTCATTGACAATCATGGTAAACACTCTCTTATCACAAAGATAATGATAATTATGTGATAATTCTTTGGATATGATTATACTTTAGAATTGCTATTTCTTCAGGTTAGATTGTACAAAAGGCACGTGTTTCCGATGGCTTCTAGGAGTTTCCGCTTTGGATATCGTAGATTTTGTAACCAAAGTTGTTACGGTTTTCGTTTAAGTCGTGAAAAAACTCGCAATAAGCTAATAGTACAAGCCCCTCCTTCTGGTGAGTCTTAACTTATCAAAACTTTGCTTTTCAACTCCAAAGCTATAAGTAGACTGTTTCAGGCTACACATCGAAAACGGATGATGCGTGTAAGAAGTTGCATAATTCTCACATCGCCACTTTGCCACTACAGGGAATTCCAGGTTGTGTGATCGACAAGTGGAAAAAATCTGTAAAGAAGTGGCATCGTGCTGGCAGGATCTGGGCAGAAAACTAGGGCTTTTATCAGCACCGCTCAAGATAATAGATAAAGGGTTCAACCTCGCTCACGAAAAGGCCAGGGGAATGCTACAAGAATGGAGGAGAAAGGAAGATGAAAATGCCACTTTGAGAGCTCTTTATGATGCTCTGAATGATCTAGGACGACAAGACATTGTAACAAATATAAAAAAAAAACTAGGTATGTAAACATTTGCATGTTTTCTTTATTCGGATGGTGTTTAAAATTACACACGAATAGCCACGACCATAAGTGACAAAAAATAAATACAAATTATAACAAGCAATTAGGCATCAAAATATTTGGCAACTTCCTCGTGGAGCTCTCTCTCTTCCTCCCTCGTGTTGATACCCTGGTTCCAGTTGATCACGTGCCCATGTAGAAAAAAGAACGCCGTGGAGGGGGTGGATAAGAGAGGAACCTGGGAACGCAATTGAGCCTTCTTAGCATTATAATTACGTTATTTCACCTAGTAACCATAATTTAACCGTGACAATAAAACCATTCCCGTAGGCGGAAATATGTGAACTATGTATCATTTCCCTTTTTTCTAAAGGGAAGGTGCCAGACAAGGATTTCGCCACGTAGTCATTAGTCATCATCATTCTTATTATCGTTATCGTTAATCTCATCGTTTTGGTCTTGGACGGGCTATTTGAATTTGGAAAGAAACACACCTTTTAGCCTTTAAGGAAAAAGTGGTTTGAATAATGTTAGTCTTTGTTACTTTTTCGTCGTCTCTGATCAATCCATTTATCTATCTGTTGTAGTAATTAAGAGTGCAACATGTCGGGCAAGAGCTCATCCAGCAAGGAACTAGCTTCTCAAACAGGTAAAGATAATTACAATTTACAATATATAGTTTTAGAGAGGACCGGTATTACCTATTTGTTTGCTGTTTTTAAGGAAAATTTCTCTTACTATCCAGGAGGATAAATGGGGGTTAGAAAATTGTCAGGGAAGACTGATATTAAGCTGGAATGTAGCCTTGCGATGGATTGACATACAGTGAGGCAGGAGAGTAGTAATACATCTAATGTCTTCATGTTATAGAAACCAGGATAAGCTCCAGCATAAAGGGCCACAACCTAAGTACAGACCACTTATTATGCATCTTAGGTAGTCTCTTAATCTTATTCATGGATGATTCATAGACTTATGTAATAAGTTATATTTATGCTTAATTAAGAAGTTTGTTTAACAAGTAGTGAAGCCTTGATTGTGCTCTGTTATGCTGTGAAGCATGGAGGGGGAGGAAGCGGCTAGAGCACGAAAGAAGTGTAGGGAGAAACACGAGACGTAGTTGAGTGTTTCTTCCCACTTTTATAATCTTCAGCATGCCCTACACTCTAATAAAGCAGGCTACAATAGGCCAATCAGAATCCTCGTTAGAATGGTTAGCTAGCCGCGACAGACCTCAGCGTGATCGCAGTCGCCCTAAAATCATCATAATTTGCATGAATTTAAGCAGTTATGCCACTTTGGATATATTTTCAAGTTTCATCATGCCTATTTTGTTCTGTTTTGTTTTAAAACACGAAACTATATAACTACACGACTGTTAACTGTGTTTGATTTTTACGTAAGTTTACAACCAAATTGATATTTCTATACAATCATTTTTTCGGAACAAGCTAAAATCCTTTATTGTGGGAAATCTTTGTCGTTTAGCTTGAAACTTTGTTCTATTGAAGAATTCCTTACACAAATGGAAATACCTGAAAGGAACTTTTTAAACCGTTGGAATACCCAATGGGACCTCATTGCCTAGATGTAAGGAAAGAACGCAGACTGCCATGTGCTCCTTAGAATGATAAGGGAGGTTAAGGTGACTAACGACCGGTTTGGATGCGTCCTTGTCATTCCTTTCTAAGTAGCGACGGTTTTCTCAGAATCAGTCACCGAGACGTCTTCCTGTTTCACTCATGTACATTGCTTTGCAATAAGTGCAAGTTATGCAATGGATGACGTTAGCTTCCCACTTTTCTATCTCTTGTATCCTTTCCGGAGTGTAGGGAAGAAAGTAGAGGAAAGTTTCTACTACAAATTTCATACAGATTCTAAAGAAGCTTACTTAGTGTGTCTGACGCACTTAACTCACGGATAGGAGGAAAATAAACTAAATATGTCCCTATTCAGCTTATGGTGACGTCAGGCACACATGGGCTGTTGATTCACCAAAGAGTCTTAAAGCTGCAAAATTTAAGGCAAACGTTTGACGCTTCAACATTTATGGCTACTAGAGGTTTTATTCGCATTTAGCATTTTATGGAAAATTTTAATTTAGTTCACCAAGTCACCTCATAGCAGACGGCGTGGCCGAGTGGTTAGGGTGCTGGACTTGTAATTCGGGGTCCCGGGTTCAAGTCCTCCACCCTGCCACTCACAACTCACTCGGCTGCGCTCCGTAAATAGCTCACCGGTCTGCCTCCTGCCAGTGGGGATTTTCAAGTACTCGTCTACAATGTTACTGATAATCCCCTTTGGGGGAGCTTCAATTAACTTATATTATTATTATTTTTATTATTTTTATGACGCAGTTTATTGAACTTCAGCATGCCAGGTAAAGAAAGTTTTCATAGGGGGCACAGCGTAACCTACGAAAATACACATCGTTGCACTTACAAAAAATATAAAAACCTATTTGCTAGCATGTAAAATTATTTAAGATACAACTAATACTAATATAACATCGCTGATTTACAATCTATTATTAATATACGTAACAACAACTAAGTCACGTTCTGTGAGTGAGATTGTTGTAAAACTTATCAACTAAACTCTCTAAATAGATCGATTAATCTTCTAATATACGGAACTCAATTTTTAAATTTCCTTCCATGTTTAAAAATATCCTTCAAATTAATATTTATACGTGGGAGTAAACTTCATGCTTATGTAATGTTCTTATAATGTTCAACCTTTCAAAAGTTTCTAGATCTTTTGTAGTTTTACTGTTCATGTTATGATCTGAAAAGTCCTTGCAATGCTCAACGTACTTGACACTACAGACCTCTGCATGTTTCGTAGCACATCTTTTGTCTTTTTTCCCAACAACTTCCGTAATCCTTCTTCCATAGTCCTCGATCAACCTCCAATCACGTCCATGATAATATTGTGCTGCTGGACTGTATATCCAGGGTACCGTTCTTGTAACTCCCATCGTAATGGACCATACTTTACAGACTTCTCTTCATCTTTCTTTCCTCTGTTCTCAATCCATGGACAACTCATCTCCATTATTATTATTATTATTATTATTATTATTATCATCTCTTTTATCACAGTCTTTGCTGGTGTTCTTTTTGTGCATCAGCCGGGCGCAAACCATGCACCTAGAGTGTCAGTCACTTAAGTCGATCATGCTGTTCATACTCTGAGCACCTATCTTAAGATTCGCGCCGATCCCAGCATGCAGATCTTTTGAGTCTCTGTCATAGTAGCTCTCTCTGATACTTATTATTATTATTATTATTATTATTATTATTATTATTTTTATTATTATTATTATTGTTATCCTACTTACAATCTAATCATTTTCATTGGATTAGATTGTAATTAAATTTAGATTAGATTAAATAGGATTTTAATTGAAATCGGAGCTACAATTAGGTGGTTTTTTTTATTTTTAACTTGTAAATAGTTATTTGCTTTGAGTGTTAATGAAGTTTGATTTCATTATTATTATTATTATTATTATTATTATTATTATTATTATCATTATTATTATTACCAACCAAATTAACCTGAAGTAAATTTAGTGCTCAAAACACAGTGGTGGGAAATACACGTAAAGTACCCACACGAACGAGGAGAGGAGTCAACTGTGTTAATGAACTAGAGTTGCTAGGATGGCACTGAGTAATCCAACTATTTTGTCCCACAATCAGATGCTGAAAAGAGAATATGAGGAAGAAGAGGAGAGGAAGGAATCAGGATTAAATGTTAAAAACTAAAAATTATCAAGATGATTACTCATCTTAGAACTACATAAAGACTTTTAAGACATGGCTAGCTGAAGGTCGGCTGTAAAAGCATGCGACAGTTGAAGCAAACTTCACTATGCCCTTTCTAAAATAATACCATGAGTGGTTTTTTTAGTTTTTTTGCGATTTTGTAAATTCAAGTCAAGGTTTGAACACAGTACTAGTTGTTTGAAATAGCAAAAGCCTATTTCTGAATTTCTCCCAAAGTACACAGATTCTGGAGCCCAAACTAAACAGCTAAGAAGTAGAAATATTGTGGTAGCCAACTATGTAGGAATCCAGGGGAGGGGGCGATTTATGTCTCATAAGAGCAAAATGTTTAGGTTTACTAGGGTCGAGAACTATACCTTTTTAAGTATTCGTTGTTGCTGTTATAGACTACTATGAAACAAATTAAAAAGGATTGAGATTTTATCGAATCAAAGTCATCAGGCTTAGAAATAAAGGGCGAAAGTTTCTAAAGAAACTTTGGTGCTGCGTCGGTGGGGATAACAAGGTAATTTGGTTATATCAACTAAGTTGAAATTGTAAATTGGCCACCGTAAAGAGTTAAAAAGCGGACGTTTCGAACGTTAGCCTTTCGTCGCAGCGCATGACGAAGAGCTAACGTTCGAAACGTCAGCCTTTAAACTCTTTACGGTGACCAATTTACAATTTCAACTTAGTTGATATAGCCAAATTACCTCGGCTGGTTTAGGTTGCTGAGCAGCATTTAAAATGGTGGCCACTGCTGTCTCGTTTTCAGCACTTACATGGAAAGTTTGCAAAAGGTTAGGTTATCATTTGATACCTCACTATCTAATCTTACGACGTCACAAGAATCAGGTGTCTTCTACGTATATCTGGTTTCATTTGTTTGTTATTTGCCCTTTGTTATCTCCGTTACTGTCATTAATATCAGAGGCACGGTCAACCCTTTAAGAATATTTTATCAATTTTATCTCACTCTTATTCAAGGCCTTTGCGGGACTATAATACAAATTCGAAACGCTGTTGTGATCACACTGCCGATAATATTTAGAATAGTGATCAGCCATCCAACTTATTATACATCCGGCCTTTAAAATGTCTTCCTTGCGAAGAACTAAACCTTTCTGTAGGACTATAAAGGACAGTATGCACTCTTTGTCTTCTATAGTACTTTAACTTTCTTTGTAATCGCGATGTAGTATGGGAGAACACCAGAAAAGCTCTACTTAAGCATTATTATCTATTTTTGGAATCTTTTAATTACGACTTTGCGATGCTCTTCATGAGAATTTATCTATTTATTTATTTATTTAATCGATTTCACCATACTTACAAAACTGAGAAGACTGAAATATACATATGTACAAGACACAGAAGAGAACGGAGAACAAGGGTTCGGGACACACAATTGAGCGTGTGCCCTTACGAGAAATACACAAATACCAACTATGTAAACAATAGACAGTGTAAAAAGTATATAAAAAATACCCCAATTATAAAAGAAAAAACCATAGGAATAAATCCCTCATGCAGCCGATAAAAAGTCCTAATAGCAGCAGTTACCAGCTAATAGAAGATCACGTGACCTACTGCATTTGCAGCAGATCGACTTCCAGGTGTTGAAGGTAGTGACGTCATAGTTTGTACGAAAAGCAGCCGAATAGCGTTGGAGTACATGAGATTTAAACTGATTGAGAGAACTAATTAATAGTACTAGTGGATACAGGTAAAGTATTCCAGAGTTTAGCGACACGATTAAAGTAACCGAATTGAAAAAGCTTTGTACGGCACTTGGGAATTAGTACGTCTTGATCAGAGCTATGACGAGTAATTTGGATATATCAACAAAGTTGAAATGGTAAATTAGCCACCGTAACGATTATAAAAGCTGAAGTTTCGAGCGTTAGCACTTCGTCGGAGCGAATGATGAGTAAGACGGGTGCCTTTAGGCCTGACACAATCAGCTATGGGCAGGGTGTAGTGGCCAGCGCGACACTTGAAATGGAAAATCAAGTCTTTCACCTCGTGCCAGTAAGTTAACGGTAGCAGGTTGAGGCGAGAAAGGCGCTCATGATAAGAAATATCTTCTTGCCAGTGCGTGTTTAAGATGAATTTTGTTGCCATGCGTTGAAGACTTTCTATTTCTTTTTATGCCACCGATCGAACTGGGAGCCCATATCTCGCTAGCATAGCCAATGTGTGATCTTACATACGTGAGATATAGTAATTTCCTATTATCTGTGCGGAATGACGACACTGTTGCGTCGCAAGAATGCAAGCATCCCAAGATAGTGTTGATGTGAGTGTCCCATGTGAGGTCCGGAGACTAGACACTCCGAAGTCTTTCACTTGAGTGACGTGATTAAGTGAGATGTTGTTCAACTTGTAATCGTAGCGAAATGGGTAGGGCTTACGTGTAACGGTTAGTACCTCACATTTACAGGTGTTAAACTTTAGGTGCCAATTATCACTCCAGCCCTGCAGACTGTCCAGGTCTTTTTGGAGTGACTCACAGTCCTGTAGACCACCAATGACGCTGGAACACTTTGAGTCATCAGCGAAGAGTGCAATATGATTCGGTATCACCAGCAGGAGATCGTTCACATAAACTAAGAACAGCAGAGGACCAGGGATACTGCCCTGAGGGGCTCCTGATGGAACTGGGGAACGACTATAAGTGAAGCCGTGGACCAAGCACTGCTGACCACGTCCATCTAGATAGCTATCAAACCACTGCAGAAGTTTCCCGCTGACTCCATATTGGGAGAGTTTCAGAAGCAACCCTTGATGGGAAACACTGTCGAAACCCTTTGCGAGATCCAGATACACTATGTCCGACTGCAGACCCTTATCAAGAGACTGGCCAATCTCGTGATAGAACGCTAGAAGCTGGGTGACGGTAGATCGACCCTGAAGGAAACCATGCTGTACATTGTCAAACAAAGGACAAAGAAAATCATTAAAGTGCTTGAGTATACATCGTTCTAATACTTTGGACACAACGCACAGTAGATTGATAAGTCTGTAGTTAGTAACGTCCTCCTTTTTTCCTTTCTTATAAACAGGAACGACAAGGGTGTCTTTCCATTCAATGGGTAGTCTACCCTCCGCAAGAGATAAATTAAAGAGGGCGCAAAGAGAAGGTGTTAGTTCCCTTGCACACGCCTTTAGGACGGTTGTAGGAAGACCGTCAGGGCACGAAGCTTTACTCGGGTCTAGATTCGAGAGCACTTTGTAGACCTCGTCTTCGTACAGCATTAAGCTGTCGATAACGGGCAACCTGCCGTCAGGCGGCGTAAATGCATCAAGGGGTACCTCAGGCGCATGCATAAACTTAGAATAGAAAAATTGTTGAAGGCTTCTCCCATCTCCACCCCAGAAGATATCTGACGTCCACCGTACGTAATATTAGATGGTATAGAGTATGACTTGGTTCTATGGCGGAACTAACTCCAGAAGCGCTTTGGATTCGCTTTCAAGTTGTCGCCAAGAGAAGTGAGATATGCCTTTAATTTCCTGTTTATCAATGCCTTAGAGTTTTTTCTTAAAGTCCTGAACTTTTCAAGTTTAAAAGCGTTGTTGTGCTTCTCGGCTGCACGTCTGGCTGATTCTCCCCTCTTTAGCAAGTGACGAACTTCTTTGTCAATCCACTTGTCACTTGTCAATCCAATTTTCAAAATGAGGCTCCATCATCCGTATATTTATTGAAAATTTCTTTTTGTTATTCGGATTCTTCACGCTGACTATATCTTTTTAGCAGCAGTAGACTACAAGTAATACTGCCTTCGAAATATCTTATATCCTCTTAGCTCTTTGAAATACTGTTAAATGGGCGTTCGGGATTTAACGAACATATGCCACGTAACTGTGGAAACCATTGTCAGGACCTGGAATTCATGTTATCCTTTACACTTAAAGGAATGAGAAACTGTAGCTAGAGCGAACATGGAATGAAATAAATAATACCAGCAAGTTTGCTGCGAAATTGAAGAAATTGCAGAAAAGAAGCTTGAAAGACTTTTTTCGGGTGCTACTACCAACTAAGGAATGAAGCCCCATACTGGAAACCAGGCAAATGTTGTGGGTTTCTTTTTTACCTGAGGTAATAACCTCGTCTCGTTTCCAACACATGGCTTGGTAGATCAAATAGAAGCGCCCAAAATGTATCAGGGGCTATAAGGCCCACTTGTAAGGATCCTTTAGCTGCTTGTATGTTATCCGCAAATCAAATCATGACTTATTTAATTAAATTGACAAGGCTAACTTAGTCTTTTCGCTAGTGTTTTCTCTTTTCTATTCCCTATCTTTTTTCATAAAAAAAGATAAACATTTTCTCTCCCTCTCAAGTTAATTTTATATATGTGACATAGGATACTGCACTGACAAACTCCATGAGTTCAAAACCTTTTGCTCGATGTGTATACGGTGCAAAAATTTCAGCTGTAAATTCATTAAAATTTACAGCTGAAATTTCAAAAATTGACATTCAAAAGTAAACACTGATATTCATTTCGCTGTTCTTCACGTCCTCGATCTGTTGTGTAATCAGGTAGAAGGCTTCGATTGATTTCGAAAGCAAATACACGAGCAGTGAAATTTTGAAACTGGGTTCCACAGGCATAAAGTTGTAACTAGGAGCATGTGAAAACGGATAGAAACGGAAAAAAATGCCATAATTCCAATTCCGCCTGTTTCAAGGAAACTCACATAATTTAAACTTCGTGATAAAGATACCAAGTTCACATTCACAATACAATTCTGCAAGTAATTAGAAGTCATACGATGGTAGACTCATTTTGCGAATATTTGCTGCAACTGTGGCCAGCTATTACTGAAGCGAGGAAGCTTCGCTGGGCGTTTATCACAAATATCCTCTCAAACTTTTTCTTTTGTTATACTTCTACGATTTTGAACGCTTTAACGATCCACGCTGTACGTAAAGCATCCTTTTTACTAAAGTTTCTGAGGACTTGCTGTTTCAGATGTTTGTATTGATAAATTTGCTCAGCCATTGTATACTTCAGCTTGTGTTAAGTTGTTGCTGCAACAATCTCCTGGATGTCTTTTCTACAAGACAGTGTATACCTTATCAGTCCTGTTTTGCATGGCTTCTTTGAGTGGCGTTGCAGCTATCAGCTTGGATAGGTTCTTAGCCATTCCCCTTCACTTAAGATACTATGAACTTGTAACTCACAACCGCGTGCTTGTTGTGGTTATCTTCAATTGGATGCTGAGTGCATTTCTTTCGCTGACGTGGTTCTGGGTTCCGTCGCACATTGCATACCCACTTATCTATATTCCCTCGATTTTCTTTCACCTGTTAAGCTCAGTGGCATATATAAAGATTTATCTAGCTGTACGACGCCATAAAAATAAGATACAGTCCCTGCAGGTACAATGCGAGGAACCGCGGCGTCGTGAGTTGGTAAATACTGCTGGCCTCC